CCTAATGTTTGCCCTACTCATCTCTGAAATAGCAACGGAAAACTACGGCTCCTGCTAGTTAGGCAGCATGTGTGTACCAGAAATTGGTTTATTTCTCTATGAATGTGATACATACACATAGTGGCTCTGTGACTTTAAATATTTTTTCTTGTGTACTGCTAACATATGGCAGTATTGGATATGTTAAGCTTTCGAATGGCAATGGCACTCTTGGAGGAAAGAAGTGTATTGTAATTAGTGTTTTTATTAAGTTTGACTGTAGCTATTTTTTTCGCTTCTAAAATACTTCTGTTGGAAAAAAGCAAAAAAAAGTACTTGTCCTTGAGATTTTTTGAAAGCTGTTGCACTGAAATATGCTTACTACTGTTTATGCCCCCCATATGTAAATACAGGGTACAGTCTGAGGTACTTGATATTATTTCATGTCTTTTTCATGCTTAGGTATTAACTATGGGCTGGAGAAACCGTCGCGTAGCATCAACCTCAATGAACAGAGAATCCTCAAGATCACATGCAGTTTTCACTATCACAGTGGAATCCATGGAGAAAAACAATGAGGTTGTTAACATTCGGTCTTCCCTGCTCAATCTGGTAGACTTGGCAGGATCTGAGAGACAGAAAGACACCCATACAGAAGGACTGAGGTTAAAGGTTAGTTCTGTAATATTTGTGGCATCTTTCTCCTTTCAGGTGTACTGCCCATCCACCAAATCTGTTCACCTTTGTTCTCTTCTTTCTTTTGTTTTTAGGAAGCAGGTAACATAAATCGATCACTAAGTTGCCTTGGACAAGTAATCACAGCACTTGTTGATGTGGGTAATGGAAAACAGAGACACATTTGCTACCGGGATTCCAAGCTCACTTTTCTGTTACGGGTAATATATATAATATATCCTCTGGATTTTATATGCTGCTTGGGCTGTAGAAAAAAATGTTTGTTTGGGTTGGTTATTGACTTTCAGTTGATTTGTTGCAGTTAACTGTAGAGGAATTTATTTATGCTCATAATCTCCTTTTACATATTTGCAAGTTTTAAAGAAAAAGCAGATGTTCTCATCCCTATACTTTGGAAAATACTATGTATCAGAGTGTAATATTCAGAGATGTGTTAAAATGTTTACACAATTTCCAGAATTAGTCTACTTGTGCTAAGTGTTGGTATGATGTTAAGAATTAATCTCTGAAGAATTACGTCTTCCACTGCAACCCAAAATACATAGAAATTAGAAGAGACTTGCAACTGTATGAGCTGTTACTTTCTTAAGTAGTTATTGGTTTTTTATTTTGTTGTGCTGCAAAGAAGTCCACTAACATGACCTTCTCTACTAGACAGAGAAGGCCATTGCAGCTTGTGGGCTGTTTTGTAGTACTAGGCTTTTGGAGTCTTGGGTATAACTGCTGCGTTCTCCAGAGATTTGAGAGCTACTTGTCTAAAAGCATAAAGGTATTTGAAGACATGCATGTAAAAGGGAGAGATTCTTTTTATATCTTTGGTCAAGAATCTGTTGGTTTGATTTTTTTTTTGGTTGGTTGGTTTTTTGGCAACTGCCACTAGAAGATAAGTTGAAACAATCAACAGTCTAGATGATGTTCAAAATAATGCCAGCACCAATCCAATAATGACCAAGATTAAAATATCTGCTTTATTCCCTGATTTTTTTTTCCTCAGGTTTTTTTTCTCTCCCTGCTGTTCAGGCGTAACAGATATCTCAAATTGTTGATTAGCAATATAAAAATCAGGGTTTTGAAAACCCAAATAAAGTATTTATTTACAGTCCCATCCTTTATACCCACATTTGAAATAAAATTTCAGAAACCTAAGTAGCGTGTAGATTTGTGAAATAAAATTCCTTCTGCAGTTTCTTTAAAGTAATACACAGTAGCTCTAAGGTGATACCTTCCTGTTGTAGCCAAAAACATGCAAAAATATAACTGCCATGTTTTTAAATAGGATTCCCTTGGTGGTAATGCAAAAACATCCATAATTGCAAATGTTCATCCAGGATCCAGGTGTTTTGGTGAAACACTGTCCACCCTCAATTTTGCTCAGCGAGCAAAGTTGATTAAAAACAAGGTAAGAGAGTTATTTAATGTCTTTATTGTTGAAAAAACCAAATTTCTTGTAATTTAAGGCACATCTGCAAACAGGATAGCTTCACTGAAATATTCTTGTGCTTTCACTAATTTAAATGACTAACTTATTTTAAAATCCTAAATTTGCTTTCCTAAATGTTTATGACAAATTATTTTTTGAAAAGGACTTGTTTGCTTTTGATTATGAATAGAGTGCAACAACTTGGGACTAGGTAATGGCTGATAAGTGTCATTGCTTGCTCTCTGACCACTTCATTGGAAAAAGTAAGTTAATCTGTACTAAAAAGTAAAATTGTAATTTTAAAAAATTAGATTCAAGAGTATTTCAGTGCATCTAGTTTTTATACGTGTTAACTCCCAAACATAATTTCTCATGAGTGGGCTTTGGAAGTATGTTGGTATACTGACTTTGATGTATACTGCTTCGCTTTGTTGGTCAAAAAGCTCCAGAGAAAATTCTGCAGAAAACGTTATATTTTTTAACCAATATATTTAGCTGAAGTGCAATTTAGTGGTTTCTCAGTAAATTGAACATTACTTTTCCCTTAAATGTTTCTTCCTTTCCTGAGCTGGAAATCTTCTCAGTAGTTTTGTGATTTTTTGCAGTCTTTGACTTTTCATTTATCTTATAAAATATTTTTTTTATTTGTACCTCATCCTCATTTTCTCTTAACGTATTTATGAAAGGCCGTGGTAAATGAAGACACACAAGGAAATGTGAGCCAGCTGCAAGCTGAGGTCAAGAAGTTGAAAGAGCAGCTCGCTCAACTTACTTCAGTGCCATCTATGCGAGATATTTCTGTATCACAAGGTAAGAGCCGGGGGTAGAGAAAGAACTTGCTACTTTCTTAGCCTAGAGTGTTGGAGCCTTATGTAATTCACTAAGTCTCTGAACAATTAATATTTTTGAGGACTGACCTACAGAGGTTGTATTTGTCTTATGGATCCTGTTGCCTGGGATAGAGTTCTGAGGGAAAGCAAATGATGATGCTTAAACACTGAGGAGGGGTTTTGTGCAGAACCCAATGTATTAGAGCTGTGTTTAGTCTATGCAGTTCAATCATATTTGTAATATTCAACCATACAAATATGAAATCTGCTTACTAGCTACTTTAAAAAGTGGATGACATTTAAAATATATTAAATTACAATACAGTAGTTGTTATCACCTAGATACTATGGTGATTAGTATTCTATAAATAAGTAGTCTTGCCTGCATGAGGATATTCAGGAAAACTATTTTGAAATAATTTCTGAAGTGGATTAGTTAAGCCTTTTTAATCCCTTGTGTGGACACTTTACTTCCAGATTAAATCACTAATTGTCCGCTTAATTCACACTTATTTTCCTGAATTTCCTTCTCATAAATCTGTTAGCCCACTTTTAATATGTACAAACTATAATAATGCCAATAATGGCTTACAGTTATCAAATTAATTTCAGAGGGGTTTTGCATTTTATAGATATACTCAGCTGTACAAACTGATTTATTATATTAAAAGTTCATCATAAAGCCTTTTAATGCTTGAACAACTTTGTTAATTACACAATTATGTATATTGACTCTGTTCTTTATCAGCACTTGCAGGTGACTAAGAATTACAGTCAACATCTTTGCTCTGAGTACAGCACATGGTTTTAGACTAATTATATTGTTTGAAGGTTTTATTTAAATTTTCTTACACAACTGTCACTTTATGTATTGAGAAAAAAAACAGGTTAACTAGTATTTTAATAAATATGGCATTTGTTTCTTTGCCTTACACTACGGCTGCTCTTGACAAAGGGAAGAACAACTTAAATTATTTGAACAACTTTCTTGAAGCAATGTTGTTCTGGGAGAAATCGGAAGGTGAAAAGAAGGTAAGAAAGCGCTAGTATTTCCAAGGGCATTCTGTGTACTATCTGATGAGAGCATGTAGAAACTGACTCTCTTAATGATTTTTCTTTGTTTTTGAATAAAAATACTCTTCCAAAGACAAGGTTTGGTAATAAGGGAACTAGTCAAATGACATTTAAGGATAAGACCTTTCAAATTCAGACAAGCCATAGGATAGCTTTCATAGTATGTTTAGTTTTAGGGAGTGGGGTTTTTATTTGGATTTATCTTTTTAAAAAAATTTAAAAATTGACCTGAACAGCAAACTTCTGTTTTACTTAATTTTGAGTGCATCCATGAGTCTGTTTTGAGTTTATTTTTTGGAGCAAATTCCAGTCATTCCCATTTTATTCTTTGATTCATGTAATGGTGTAGTGCTGAGTCATTCAAAATGAAATTTTTGGAAGAAAATTAACTGAAACAGGCACTCTAGGGGCGCATCTGATGTGCTTAACTGAATACTTAGTCTACAGGGTCATGCTGGAGCTTCTAAATAAAGTTTTTGCAATATAGCATCTCATTTGGCTTCTTGGTATGAGCTGCTGCTCTCTACAGATCTGCTCAAAATGAATTATAGTTTCTGTATTCACAAAATTATTGTCAACTCAGTTTTGCATGATTTGTATGTGTATGTGATACATGTACCCTAAAAAGTCACCTAGTGTAACTGTAATTTTCCCCCAATTTGTACATGGACTTTCTCAGAATTTATTAGAAAAAATTGCTCGACTAGAAGATCTGTGTGCCAAGAAGGAGAAATTTATTCAGTCCAATAAAATGATAGTTAAATTCCGTGAAGACCATATTCTTCGCTTGGAGAGATTACACAAAGAGGCTGGTGGAAGTTTATTGCCAAAAGAGCAAGATGATCTCCTCAGTGAATTGAGGGAGGAATTGCAGATGCTCAGAGAACAGGTAAGTCTTTAGCTTTTCCCTTTTAGAGCAATTTTGTTGAAAGGGAAAGACAGCAGGATGCAGGTAATCCAGCAGGCTTCTGAAGGATAATAACACAGAAGCTAGATGGGGCCAGTCAGGGGTGATGCTATAGTGGAACTCTGAAGAAGGCAAGTAGCAAAGTACTCATCTAAAGCTTCAGGAGGGTAGGCTTCTGGTTATTCAGTTATCCGGTAGGTGTGGTATCATTTGTGAGGCAGTTTTGAAGAACAAAGAAGCTCTAGAGAGAAGGCAAATATTTAAAAAAAATTTCCTCCAAGCACAAATTGGAAAAAGGAGTAGATGTATTAGAAGACCAGCTTGAATCTGTAGCTCATAACTGAGCTGCAAAATAAAGGATGAGGGGGAAGTACAGAAGTCAGGACTGTCTTTAAGGAATATAGAAATGTGACTATGGCATGCAGGGACAGTGTTAAGAAAGCCAAAGCTCAGAGTTGAAACTGAAAAAGGATGTCAAGAGCAGTAAGAAAAACTTCTACTACTTTATGTGTTTACTCTTTTTTTGGTAATAAAATATAAACCCACAATGGAGTAAGAAAACTGAAAAAAAATGGGGTAGTTTTATCCACTGTAGGGAATAACTTTTTTTGTCTTCTATGACAATTTAATGCTTATTAAAGGTAGCAGAGCAACAGCTAGTTACGTATAGCATTATCTGGGAAATAAAAACTGTTTAATAAAATACTGTTTGTCACAGATGGAACAACACCCACGAATTGCAAAGTATGCCATGGAGAACCATAACCTCAGAGAGGAGAATAAAAGACTTCGTTCTTTACAGTCAGTTAGAAAGGCCCAAGAAATTGATGCTCAGACCATTGCAGAACTAGAAAAAGCTTTTTTGGAAGCTTCAGCCACAGAGAAAAATACTGGAGGTAAAAACATGATAATGTTTTTCAGTTAAATAAGCTTACTGTATTTCTGTTGTGTGCATTGTAGTGTTGCAAATGTTGTTGGTCTTGATATATTTCTTTGCCTTCTTCAAAGTGATACCTGAAGACTGATAAAACAGTTTCATGTTATTTTATTCATGTTGGCCTTCAAGAAAATACAGCAATAGAGAATTTGGATTCTTGTGAGCACCATAATCTCATTTTGTTGTCCTTAGTTGTTATGAAGACTGCAGTAACATTATCCTACTGATTTTTCATGTGGGCTGTTGCTAATATCCGTTTTCTTCAATCTCAATTGCTGCTATGCTGTTCAAAAGCCTACAGTTGCTTTTGTTTTAGTAAACCCTACCATATTTGAGCTACTCCGTGATTTCAGATGGTATATGTTTGTTCTTTAGGTCATCACTTATATTCTGCCACTATATCAGCGGAAGGCAACTCACTGGCATCTGTTGAAAGGTTGAAAGCACGCCTGCTACAGACTCAGAGTGAACTGGCAAGCTCAAAGCAAGAATATGAAGAATTCAAAGAGCTAACCAAGTAAGACAAAACAGTGTGGAAATTTATTTAAATGTCTTTAAGTAATTACTTATATTGATTTTTAAAAGTTAGTCTCGGATCTTGAATATATAGTCCAAGTATGTTCTTTGCATGTAAGAGAGCACCGGGTTCGGAAAAATGGCATGCACACAGAATATGTTCATGTTGAACTTGGTTACTCCCAACCTGAATTGGGACCTGATCCAGGGACCTGTTTTTTTAATTATATTTATTTTTAGGTTATACCTAACATTGTTGCTTTTTATTGATTTCAGTGAATCTGGAGTATAATTCTAGAAGCATTGGGCACAAGATACTTCCATTTTTGTCTCCCTACTTCTTTTTGCAAAGTAGCTTTGTAATGTCCTTATTGCTTGTGCAGGCAATTGTACCAATGCATATTTTTATTCTTAGCTTTCTGTGTAGCAAATCCTATGAACTTTATAAATCATAAGGTTACTATCTACTGAGTTTATCAATTCAGCAATCTGTCTCTTGTCCTGTATCATTACTTGCAATGGTTTATTTATATCTTCATATTTTAATTACTTTGTTTTCCTGCGCATTTGATGTATTCCTGTTTTATGTGTTCTATGTCTTGTGTATGTCTTGCTTTCTTGATAATATGTATGCATTTTTATCATCAATTACTGACATTATTTTAGTGGAGTGCAGTCAAACAGAAGTATGGTTTTGATCCTCTGTATTTCACTAAATTTTAAACTTGTTTCCAGTTTTGGAGTAACATGCAAGTGTAACCATATACGGTAACTGAATAAGTAGAGTAAAATCTAACAACTTCACAAAATCACTGTATACTATTTTTGTTGTCCACTAGCAGTCAGAACTAAAGTTCTGTTCTATTCCATAGGTTTTTTTGCAAATGCTAAAAACATGAAGGAAAGTGATAGCATTAAACTGCCAAAAGATGGAATAGTATATTTCCTTTTGTCTGTAGACTTTGACCCTACAATTATGTCAGTAGGGCAAACTATCACAGTAACAGCATGTAGCTCTGCAAAATACCGCATCAAATTATTCCTAAATTTCTGCTCAACTGCTATATTTCAGTTAAAGTACTCTTAGAGGGAAAAATAATCTTAACAGGGCAGCACTTCCAAAAAATAAAATATCTTAAAAGGATTTTCTTTAATCCTGGCAAGCACCAGTTCAGACTTCTCATATAACTGGATAACATTTTTAAAGCTTAAAACCATATTGGTATGGGTGATATCACTTTCTCATAGAAGGAATTGCAGAGCGCTCAGCTTATTTCTCACTGTGTAATGGATTTTTTTCTGACACATTTAGTTATCCATCTGCTTGCTTCATTATGCAAGCACAAATAAGCTTCTTAGCTTTTCAATTTCTTTTTTTTTTTTAACTTTTTAATACAGTAGTGGTGGCTTTCTTCTCAAAATCATGTATTTCAATGTTTGGGCAAGAGTTCAGCTTCAGCTTGCTCATTGGTAATACCACAGCTGATTCTTACTGATGGGAGGGCATACTGATGGAGTGGTTCTGACAGCAGTAAAATCCTTCCTGAACAGGAAAAAGCATATGGAACTGGAATCAGAACTTCAATCCCTTCAGAAAGCAAACCAACATCTTGAAAACATTCTGGAGGCAACCAAAGCGCACAAGCGTCGAGAAGTCTCTCAGTTACATAAGCTACATAGGGAAACTCTTAAGGTATGAGAATGTTTATTTAAAACCACGCATACTTACTCCCAAGTTGGGTGAGAACCTAGACTTTCATTTGTGTGATCCCTTAGCCTAATTAGTGTTCTGGCATGCAATCCTTATGTCATAAAGCAGGTACACTGCATTTTTGTTCTGAATGCTTACTGACTGACTGCTACTGTAATCAGATGACTAATCTGAAGAAGTGTAGTTGTTTAGAACTAACTGCCTTGAGGATTTTATTTCATTATTCTGCTTATAGAACTATGAAATACAATACCGGACAAAGTCTTCATTCCATTTTACAGTTACAATAAAGACTGCTTTGTAATCTTTATAACAGAACATAACCACTCCAACAAAAGCCTACCAGCTAAGATCTCGCCTAGTGCCGCGAATAAGCCCAGAAATCTTAGATTATCATTCTGAAGATTTTCAGTGTTCTGAAGAGATGATGGATGACATTTTGAAAGAGCCAGTTCCCCCTGAGAGGAATGAACAAGCATTTGAGGCCATTGCTGAGGAGCTCAAAGTGGCACAGGTGAATGTTCTGTGTAAAAACTGAAGTGTATGTGTAACTTTAAGTGGATTTTTGGCATTAAATACTTCCCCTCACCAAATATATTTTAATTTGCACGGGAAACTGAAGCTCTTGATGAATACTTAAGGCTTCACTGAACAGTTAATTATACATTGTACTTTAGAGGATTTGCAATGAAAATATTGAAAGGGATTTAATAGTTGAATATTGTGAGTAGTTTAAGATATACAGAGCATTTAAACTTTTACTCTTTTAACCTGATAACGTGTGTCTGAGGAAACCTCTTTAAGGCTCTGGTGACAGCTACATTTGGAACAATACCCAAGCTTAATATATAATACTGCATTATTTGAAGAAACCTGGCAAATATTGCTTGTCCACCATTATACCTGAATTGTCTTGTATCTTTTTTAAAGGGCAGGGAAGGTCTTTTGTCACATAGAGTGCTACAAAGTTATTTGAACTACTCTATAGAAACTGGAACTAACTTCAGTGCATGTAAAACCCTGGCACAACAGCCAAAACCTCTCTTTCATGCTTACTGTAGTACAGAGATCCTCTAAGGAATTTAGCTACTGTATATTTTGAACAACTAAGGTCTCTAGTCCTTTTGTGCAGATCTATGAAATGTTTGTTCCCCAAGCTGCCATTTCACAGTTTATGATGATGTTTTTGGGCTGCAGTTGGAGCAGAATAGGAAAATGAAAATAAATAAGGATAGCTCTTGTCATTATGGTTTGGAGTTGAACTGATGAAACTGAGTCATCTCTGCCTAGCTGTTTAAAATCTACAGTGACTACAGTAATATTGATTAGAGGCAAATAGGAGCATTTTGGAAGGGATTTTGAGAGACATCTCATCATAATCCTAGTAGGCTACAAAACAACTGATGATGTATTCAGAGCTACTTAGAACTGACAGAAGAGAATTACATGTATCTGAGATTCTACAGTTTAATATCTATTCTTCCACATGATGTACATAGGTATCATTTACTTACTGACCTTCTATGATGTTTAGGAAGGTTTTTT